TCAACCCAAACTACAGCAGACAACCCAAATACTGCAGACAACCCAAACTACTGCAGACAACCCAAACTACCGCAGACAACCCAAACTACCGCAGACAACCCAAACTACAGCAGTTAACCCAAATACTGCAGTCAACCCAAACTACCGCAGAAAACCCAAACTACAGCAGTTAACCCAAATACTGCAGTCAACCCAAACTACTGCAGACAACCCAAACTACCGCAGACAACCCAAACTACCGCAGAAAACCCAAACTACCGCAGTTAACCCAAATACTGCAGTCAACCCAAACTACTGCAGACAACCCAAACTACTGCAGACAACCCTAACTACTGCAGTCAACCCAAACTACTGCAGACAACCCAAACTACCGCAGAAAACCCAAACTACCGCAGTTAACCCAAACTACTGCAGACAACCCAAACTACTGCAGTCAACCCAAACTACTGCAGAAAACCCAAACTACAGCAGTTAACCCAAATACTGCAGTCAACCCAAACTACCGCAGAAAACCCAAACTACCGCAGACAACCCAAACTACTGCAGACAACCCAAACTACCGCAGACAACCCTAACTACTGCAGTCAACCCAAACTACTGCAGACAACCCAAACTACCGCAGTCAACCCAAATACTGCAGACAGACCCCAAACCCAAGTTTGCAGATTGACCACAAGAGGACTAATGAAGGACCTAAGTACTGCAGACTTACTAAAACTACTTCAGACTGACCTCAACCCTCTGAGACAGACTGATGTCCCCCCCCCGTCTGAACAGTGATAAAATCAGACAGAATATTGTGTAATGTAGCCTAAACTATAGCACAGCCAGTCTACAGACAACATTTATTGGTTCCATATATCCCCAGCTAAGGAAATGTTATGAAGGAGCATAGAGTTTTAATAGGAGGCAGTGGAGGGGTTTCAAGGCATCCCAATCCCAGAGACCTGTGAATGCAACATCAAAACTGCCATCTTCCATCTCGTTTCCTCTCCACATAGTATTTCCCCCTGTCCCTGCTGTCTCATGAATAATTCACTCAAACACAACAGAGCCTACTCAGCATCATGCAACTGTCTGCACACAGCCAGTTGGTTTTGCTTCTTCAGCAGAGTGACAGCAGCATTGTTGCTTCTACCAGTGTGTCTTTGTTACACAGTCATTTTTCTGCGTGACCACTACTGCTCAGTCAGGGGCATATCTATGCCTGTCAACTGTAAGCCTCATCTTCACCTGGACCTTTAGACACAGACATGTTGGCAACTGCAGCCAGAATGTACGATATAGAGAGCGTACATTATAGACAGCACACAACTAAATGGACTTTGCTTTTTGACACCTAATGCCAAGTTGCTAGGACTGTAGCAGGACCACTCCTGCAAACTGGAACCTAAGAGAACTTTGATGTCAACGCGGATATAAAGAAGAAAAGACAAACTTATAATTTATCACAGAACAAGAAGCTGGAATGGGGTAAAATGAAGACAAAACAACTATTGGAATGGAAACAATGGGAGAAACCAACAGAAAGACCAGAGCTCAGTGAAAGACGAGTGATGTCATAAGGAGGAAAGGCTGGGAAACATTTACGATAAAGTTACTAAAAATGGATGGACAGAAAAAAAGGGAAATTAAAATACAAAACAGATATAAAAACACAAAAAAACCATCAGATTGAACATAAAATTAAATCAGTTTATTTAAAAAGCACAGATTCACAGCACATATCAGCTCAAAGCACTTTACAGACACAATACAACCCAATCATCCAGACAGCTCCTACTGAAGTCGGTGCTTAGATTAACACTCCAGAATCTAATTGAGCTTTTCTCAGCAACTATAAAATCTATCAAAGAATCCTGGTAACAACATAAAGGCAACATTTGAAGGTTTATACCAGAAGTTCAAGTAGGACAGCAGTTGCTATAGTTTCACAGGATTCTCAGTCATCCAGGTCAAAGTAATTCCGAAAAAAGTTAAAAACAATCCACTGGACTTTGTCTCCAAGTTTGAAGACGTTTCTCTTCCCATCCAGGAATCCCCCCCCCTTTGGAATGGGGGTCGTTTGGCAACTGTGTTACCCTGTGATGTTACCCTGCGATACCCACACCTATCTGAGGCCGTTTCTCAATATGAGTTCTAGAGCGTTTTCGTCATCAGCCTCAGCCTGAGCACTGTTCCTATTGCAGAGAACGCCAGACCGAGAACGCACCATCCCCGGATGTTGTTCTGGCCCCTCCCTCTTTACCCAGCATGCATCAGGGCAGACCTGTCCGTTCTTGAGACTAACAGCTGTCCCAGCATGCACTGCGGCAGCAGCTTTCAATGAAGCGGTCAATTGAAAGTTAGAAGTTCTCTTTCTGTTGCTGTTGTTCAATTAAAGTATGTTTTAAGATCATTTGAAGCGAAAATATAATACTTTAAAGCGTGGCTATACGGTCCATTTACGAATTTAATGCGGAATAAAAAAAAAGATTTCTGAAGTTGAGAGGACCGCAGCAACCAGCGGAGCTCCAAAGCTGACGACAGCCAGGGCTAACGTTAGCCCGTCTATAGCAGCCGGCAGAATATGTTGGCTTTTATTATCCTGCTGCCTGCAGTTTGTAGCACAGACCTGAAAAACGCTAACATCTACTTCCAGCCGCCACCAACAGGAGGGGAAAACCCCCAAGAGGCGAGCGGGCCTGAGGCAGCTGCTGCTGGGGATTCCCAGTGACAGCGCAGCGCCGGTATGTGGGGGTCTGAGCGGCTCCCACAGAGAAATAATCTTTGAAGGCAGGATGGTAATCTGGATGAACTGACTGCACAGACCATGTTTTCAGGAGGACTTTCTCACTTCAACATAGAACTTCCAAATGTTGGCTACATATTACGGGTTTTTTCTCTGGCCAGAAGTTCGATGGCAAATCCTCCCTCTTCAAGTTGGCGATCCAACGACCAACCCGTCCGTGGAGGATCAGGAATCAGAAAGGTGGAATAACTCTTTTTTTCACTTTTACCCGATGTATTCCAGCATCCAGCTGCCATGCACGTGGGCATTGTCAGTTTCACTATAGCTCTGGTGAATTTCAATGGTGAAGTCCTCTGGAAATCTTCAATAATTGTTGTTGATTGCAGATGTGTCTAGTAGTTCCCATTGATTTAGCTTGGAAAGCGGGGAGAATGGCGCTAGGCTTACCGCACCGTGACGTCACTGCTGGAAGATGGCAGGAGGGAGGGGCTACTATATTTGGGCAAAGATGGCCGCTCCCAGACTCAGTGATCGTGATGAAAATTATTGTTTCAATTTTTTTACTAATCAATGCTAAATTCATTAAATCACTGCAAATCTATGAGTTTTACGTATAAATAATGATCCGCTGATTATTCCTGCTGACTGAACTTTCCTTTAAAACTACTTTTTACCCGCGGATCACAGCTAATGTAGCAAAGCTGCTCTCTGCATTGAACTCAGGAGGAGCAGAAACATCTGGACTCACTTTACTGGACGTCTGACCTTAATGTGGATCAGAGATGAAGCAGCAGGAGCGTCTTTGATGGCGTTCGGTGTGAACGCCGCATTAAGGTGAACGGCAGGCAGCGGGATGGAGGCCTGCTGTACTGAACCTGCCCCCCCACCCCCACCTGATCGCTTTGAATCTAACAAAGAAAACCTGAAGTCATTAGCTTCACAGCCACTCTAGCCTGGAACAGCTCTGTTTGTCTTGGTTATATAACCCACGCTCTAAAGACAGCTTGGATCATTTCAGCCATGTTGACGAGTGAAAACACCAGTCATTGCAGTAAAGGGGGGGGGGGGGGCTAAGATGCTGATGAATGTCACTTTCTCCCTCTCTACAGTTGATCCAATCGGACCCCCGCTTCCGTCAAAGCTGCACGTCACAATCTGTGCAGAGGATTCTTGCTCCTGCCTGTTCGCCCACTGACTATTATGATTCAACGCAGCCCTGCAGCCAGAGAGAGAAGAGATGAGGAGGGGAAAGTGAGACGAGAGGAGCCGAGCGTAGGCTTAACCTCCCTCTCCTTCTATCTGAGGAGAGATCAGCTCTTTCTTGCCTACAATGGACAGACAGAAAGGAACAGCTCAGTGGTGGGATGTGTGAAGGAGGCGGGGACGGAAACAAGCGGCTGACTGTGAAAGAAGGATGAATCACATTTTCAGCACCCGTCTCCTCTTGTCAGGGTCGCCTCAAACCGACTCTTTTAGGCAGTGGAGGCTTTTCTGACCACGATCATCCCCATGACTTTAGGTGGGACTCCTGGTGAACCAAAGGCTGCAGTGAGAGAGAATCCAAGCCGCTTCTTTTCTGATGAATTTGATCACACCTCACATTCCTCAGTGGTTCTGCTCTCAGGAGCGACTATATGACCCATAATCTCCCTTTAGGAACCTTTAAAATGCTCTGATGTCTCCTTCTCTGTGGAACCACTGAGGAGGAGACATCAGACATCAGGCAGCGTGGAGATGCTTTTTATAGCCATCAGTAGGAAAGCATGAACCATCCACTGGAAATGTCCTTTCTCTAGTTTGCAGTGATTACTGAGCCTTTTATAGACGCAGACTCGCTGTGAGTCATTTGTTCAGCAGTCTCAGGTTGGTCAAACTCCACAGAGGAAAACATAAAGCTCCCTATCAGGCCTTTTATCTCTTTGCGTTTCCTAAAGTTTGGTCATATTGCTGATTTTATATTAGACTGCAATAAAGGCATTTCAGAAAGATCTCATCCTCACCAGGAATGATGGAATCCAGATCATTCTTTCCAGTTGCTTTAAGGTCCACCACTTTCATTTTGATCAGAGAGGGTCGTTCACTGAACTTTTTATTTCAGAACAAGGGAATGCTTCAATTCTGGCTAAAAATTTTACAATTGAAAAAACATTATCTAATTTTTTTTTCCTTTTCGGCTGAGCAAAACAACATAAAGAAAAATAACCCTGTTAGGAAGCTAAAAGCTAAAAATCAGGCCTCCTGACCTGCTGCAAGGCGCTCTTCCACTCACCTTGATTAAATCCTCATCGTTGCAGGTTGGACAGACTGACGTCTCCCTTTAGCAGGTGTCATTTCTGCACCAGTTATCTAAGGAAACACAAACAGAGCAGAACAAATCAGTAGGAAGCTCACCTTTCTTTATGCGCTGTCCTAAAACGCTGCATTAAATTCAATCTAATGCAGTTGATTCAGAAACTGTTCAGTATTTGCCCTTTCCAAGGCTTAAACTATTAATTGTGATTAATCTATTTCGCAGGGTGGCTGGGCTCTCCCTTAGAGATAGGGTGAGGAGCTCAGTCATTCGGGAGGGGCTCAGAGTAGAGCCGGTTCTCCTCCACATCGAGAGGAGTCAGTTAAGGTGGCTCGGACATCTTCTTCGGATGCCCCCTGGACCCCTCCCTCGGGAGGTGTTCCAGGCACGTCCCACTGGGAGGAGGCCCAGGGGACGACCCAGGACACGCTGGAGAGACTATGTCTCTCGGCTGGCCTGGGAGCGCCTAGGGCTTCCCCCAACAGAGCATGAGGAGGTGTCAGCGGAGAGGGAAGGCTGGGAGTCTCTGCTTAGTCTGCTGCCCCCGCGACCCGGTTCCGGATAAAGTGGGAGACGACGAGTTCGAGAATCTAGTTTTGAAATAATTTAGTAATCGATTAATCACCAACTGGATTATACAGACTCTAAAACGCGTTGCTATGTCTTCAGTGAATATGTTGCTTACTCAGTCAGTGTGATTGGTTTAGTCTGCAGCAACCTGGGAGCAGTGCATGCTGGGAGACAGGAAGAGTCTCTGGCATTTTGTCACCTGCATGGAAATGTTAGCTCCTCATTGCTAGCTATTCTTTTCCTCCCCGCGCTAAAGCAACGTCTGTAAGTTATGCTTTCTTTATCAAGTTAAGCTGTTGTGTGTTTTTACATTAATATGTATGTTCAGAAGGCTGAAATGTTAAGTTTGTAAACAAGATGTTAGCCTTCTATATTTTGCTGCTGTTTGCTATTTGGTTAGCTTTACATTTGTCAGAGCAGCTATACAGATAATCAGCTTATTTCTCACAGTTTCTAATATACTCTAAATTGTAATTTGGGTATTTATTGTACTTTGTTACAGTTTCACAAAAAGATTCTCACTAAACTTCATGGAAGAACAACGACTGACTCCTGGAGTTTTTTGAGACTGTTTAACTGGATGGACAGTGGGTCATTACAGTGAAAGGAGAAGATGATCAGACTTAGCCTTTGGAGAGAGGAGCAGGATTACTTCAGCGAAAAGACGTCAATACAGCCTTTCTGGGACACAACAATTGTCATCATACAGAGTAATTCAGCTTCAAGAGATATGTGGCTAATATTACAGCTTCTAGAAAGCTTCATGTTAGCTTCCTTCTCCTGATGCTAGAAACACATTGAGCTATCATGTCACAACACAGCAATGTTGAAGAAATTGAAGATAATCGGTGTGAGTCTGACCACTCCAGGAGCAGCCGCTTGTCTGGTGCATCATCTACTTCAAGGATTAGCATAGCATTGCAAGACCAAAGGCAAAAGGCTGAAGCAGCACAAGCAAGAGCTTAAGGTGGAGCAGGCACGTATCCAAGCTAATCTCCATGCACTTAAAAAAGAAAAGGAAAAAGATGCTCCCATAGCGGAAGCAAATACTCTCTTAGCTGGTTTACAGGATATGGGGTTTGAAGTTCACAGCGAAGCTAAAAGTCCAGTTCAAAGATGAGCGCACCACAGTCTATGTATCAGAACAAACCAGCCTGCACAGTATGGGTTCAGCTGCTGCAATGGAGAGCATTAACCCATTACCAAAATCAAGCAACTGATGCTGATGTCATTATGCCGCACCATGCATCTCAGGATAGTCGGACGAGCAGAGCACCATCACATCACAACTTGTCTTCAGCTAATCAGAGTGATGGAACCCTTCCACAACAGAATATTAGACATGATTTTTCATCTTCTGTGAACAACTTTGAAGACAGGATGACATACAGAGCTAGCCATGATCATCCTACAACCAGTGGAGATCTCAGTAAGTATCTTGCCCACAATCAACTGGTGACTTCAGGACTCACCACATATGATGACCAGCCAATGAACTATTGGGCCTGGAAAGTATCATTCCAAAATGTTATTGCTAATCTGGAACTTTCTGCTACAGAAGAACCTTGCCTCCTTAAACCTTAAACATCTAGGAAAGGAGTCAGCAGAGCAGGTGAAAGAATAAGATCAGTCAATATTAGAGATCCTGCTATAGGGCTGTGCATGGCATAGGATCGCCTTGGTGAAACATTTGGCTCACCAGAGGCTGTAGAACAAGCTCTGTTTAGTAAACTGGAAAACTTTCCAAAGGTTACAACAAAGGAACCACAGAAATCTGACAGATCTGTTAGCAGAGCAACAAGCAGCCAAGGAAGATGGTTATCTCGCAAGTTTATCCTATTTGGATACTTCTAGAGGAACTAGGCCTATTATTGAGAAACTACCGTACAACCTAGAAGAAAAATGGTTGTACCACGGGAGCAAATATAAACGAAAACATATTGTCAGTTTTCCAACTTTCTCAGTGTTAGTAGACCTTATCTGTACATAAGCGAAGGCTCGTACAGACCCAAGCTTTAACCTCTCAATACATGGTCTGCCAGACAGGAAGAGTAAGTGGGAGAGGCCTGTTAAAACATCTGTGTATGTTCAAAAGACACAGGTTTACTGAGCTTCTAAGTTGGAGAGAGAATGGGTTGATCCAAACAAATATTGCCCGCTGCACAATAAACCCCATCCTTTGAGGAAATGCAGAGGCTTCCGTGGAAAGAGCACGGGTGATCGTAAACAGCTTTTGAAAGAACACTTCATCTGCTTCCGCTGTTGGTCTTCCACAGAACATCTTGCAAATAACTGCACTGTTGATGTAAAATGCTCAGAGTGTGGGAGCACTGCTCATGTCTCCGCATTACATCCCAATCCACCTACCTGGAAGTCCATGCTGTCACCTCCCACTTCAGAGTATGGCCGGGAGGAGGAGAGAGCGGATGGCCAGGAGGTAAAGTCATCATGCACACAAGTATGTGGGGATGGTCTTAGCGCTAGAGCATGTGCAAAGATCTGCCTTGTAAATGTGTTTCCGAATGGACACAGAGAAAAGTCCAAGAGAATGTACGTTATATTGGATGAGCAGAGTAATCGATCACTTGCACGCTCAGAGTTCAATATCTTCAGATTACCGGGTGCTCCTACTCTTACAGACTCAAGACCTGTGCCGGACGTACAGAGACAGCGGGGAGGAGAGCCAGCGGCTACACTGTGGAGCCAGTGGATAAGAGCTTGTGCATTCCTCTGCCAACACTTCTTGAATGTAACCAAATTCCTAATTTTCACACTGAGATTCCTACACCAGATGCAGCCTAACATCATGCTCACCTGAAAAGCATCGCAGAGAAGATACCACCTCTAGATCCATTCGCCAAGATTCTCTTACTACTGGGCAGAGATATCTTACAGGTACACAAGGTTTGTGAGCAAATAAGTGGCCCAGGAGACACTCCGTTCGCTCAGAGGCTCGACCTAAGTTGGGTTGTTATTGGTGACGTGTGCCTTGGAGGAGCTCACAGACCATTAGAGGTAAGAAGTTACAAAACAGCTGTCCTAGAAAATGGTCGCACCAGTTATCTCCAGCCATGCACAAATAGCATCAGAGTAAAAGAGAATTTTTTTTTTCAAACTCATAAATATCACCATCAAACTCTCTTCTTATTTTTTGTACACCCAATGACCACAAACTTGCTCCATCTATGGAAGATCTAGAGTTTTTGAAAATAATGGAGGCTGAGTGCTATCAGGACAATTCTAAAAGCTGGGTAGCTCCAGTACCTTTTCGGTCCCCAAGACCGCAGCTACCAAACAACAGAAAGTAGGCTTTTGATTGTCTCTCATCTCCAACACTCATTGGAAAAGCGGCCACAGATGAAAGCTGATTTCTTTGAGTTTATGGAGAAAATGTTCAATAAAGAACATGCAGAAGTTGCCCAACCAATGCAACCTGGACAGGAATGTTGGTACTTGCCTTTGTTTGGTCTATACCATCCCAGGAAGCCAGATAAAATCCATGTGGTCTTTGACAGTAGTGCATCACATGAAGGGTGTCATTAAACAATGTTTTGCTCACTAACCCTGACCTCAACAACAGCCTGTTAGGTGTTCTCATGAGGTTCAGGAAGGAACAGGTGGCCATCACTGCTGACATAGAGCACATGTTCCACTGCTTCGTTGTGAAGGAGGACCACAGGAATTTCCTCCGGTTTCTATGGCACAAGAACAATGACCCTACTTCAGACCTCATAGACTACAGAATGCGAGTTCATCTTCTTGGGAACAGTCCCTCCCCCGCAGTTGCTATGTATGGGTTGCGGCTGGCAGCTAAGGAAGCAGAGGCTGATTATGGCAGTGACGTGAGAAGATTCATCGACCGGGGTTTTATGTCGATGATGCTTTAAAGTACTGAAGAAGCCATCAGCATCCTCAGACAAGCACAAAAGATGCTTGCAGCCTCTAATCTAAGGCTGCATAAAATTGCATCTAACAAGCCTGCAGTTATTGAAGCATTTCCATTGAAAGATCGTTCCAAGGATGTCAGTAGTATAGAGCTCTTTGTGGATGATCTGCCTATTCAATGTAGCCTTGGATTGTGCTGGAGCATGCACACAGACACCTTCATGTTTCCGATTGAAGATGAGCAGAAGCCGTTCACTCGCAAAGGGGTTCTCTCAACCATGAATAGTCTCTATGATACGCTAGGCTTCATCAAAGTAACAAGTCACCAGAATCAGACTGAAATAGGATTTGTTTTTGGCATCTTGTTGATCCTGACAATGACTCTGAAGTACGTCCCTAGGTGATGGTGAGTCTCACACAGGTTTCCAGTGATGTGATACACCCATATTGCTTTAGACATTTTTTTCAGGTTCAGCAATCTTGTCAAAGCCATAGCGCATGTCATCCATATAGCTCGTTCCTTCATCCATTCCACGCAGAGAAGGTGTCAGGGGTGGCACATCTGTTGTCCTACAGAGGAAGAGCTATTAAGAGCCAAAGT